GTAGGGTTATTTTATTTGGGGATACTATGGTACCCATTATTACCCCAATAATGGAGAATCAAATGGAAAAGAAAATGGAAAATGAAATGGAAACTGGGATTATATAGGGGTTATTTGGGTAGTATTTTATTTGGGGATACTATGGTACCCATTATAGAGTAAGATTATATCCTCCTTTTGGGGTATATTATTTTGTACAAGGAATATTATCTTACTGGGTTTAACCACCAAAAAACGCTACTCACCTGTAACCCCAATCGCCTACAGCTTGGTAGAAGTACCCCCGAAAGGGTCTAATGTAGAGTGTAGACCCCTGATTATTCAACCCCCTCCCCTTAATAGGGATTACAATAGAGATCCTAATACTAAGGCCTTTAAAAAGCGGAGGTTTATTAATTATGGGTTTACATTAGGGTTTAACCGAATTAGTAGGTATAACCCATGAAGCTGTAGGATGCTGTAGGTACTTGAGGTCCCTAAACCCTTTATAAACCCTTGGTTACAGGTAGGCCCGCAGGCCCTGGATTCCCGAAAGTTGGTGGTCACCGGGTTGGGCCCAAGAGCAGAAGACTCCTCGATTTCTGGGGGCTCCCTAAACCGTAAAGTTTCCCGACAGGGTGGTAACGTGGGGTTTCTCAAACTCTGGGCCCTAAACGCTGTTTGGGGATGATAAGTACCTCCTTGAGGTGTGAGGGTTTAGGGCTGAGGGTTCAGGATTTAGAGTGAGGTTTTAGGGTTTGCGGGAGCTCTTTTCCCTATAAATTTCGTATCAAGGGACTAGGTTGAGAACATCACAAGCGGGCAGTCCTGAAGGAGATTTTTGCATCGCACGGGAGCTTCAAGATCTAGCAGAGAATCACTTAAGGTTTAGTTTTTAGGGGTTAGGCATAGAATCACAACCAGGTACCCCAGTAGTACACTTTTCCCCTTTTTTATTTGGGGGTCTCCTTATGAAAGCTGAACATTACAGGGTGCCCTTACTATTAAGGGGTTACTGGGGAACCTAGACAACCTCTGCCACTTTTTGAGTTGCAACAATGAGGCCTGTGCCTCAATCCTGAACCTTAAGCCCCTTCGAAGCTAAACCCTAGGGTATACAACCCATATTTTGCCCTGCATAACACTATCTATATTATATGTATATATATATGCATGATAAAACACGTCCATACATATGTATATCTATACATATGTCTACATCTCTTTCCCTATGAATGATGTCCCCATGTACTGCGCTTGTCTCAAACCCTCAGATCTTGGAGTTCTCACAAGGGGCGTTTGGGAAACGCGGTTTAGGGTTTAGGGTTTCAATAGAACAGAAGGCCGGCCAAAATGCGTTGCCTGTGCAACTAGACGTACCTGAAGCGAGCTGAGTAGACTACCTTGAACCCTTGGGGTTCTACTTGAATTTAAACGCTAACCACCTTTAATGGTGTCAGAAAACTCAGCAGCTAGGCCTAAGCTAGGGCTTTGTTTGTAAGATCCGGCCCTAGCAAGCCCCGTTTTCCTCACTTCGCAGAGGTTTCGTGGAAACCTAGTTTATGTGCAACAGGGACCCGCACAATGCCCAACTTGCTTTATGAGTTGCAAATGCCACATTCCGACCCAAACAAGGCACCCCGGAAAAGAGACTCCCAACATGGGTTTCTCGAAACAAGGTGGATCCACTTTTCGAATGTCAAATGAGCTATAGTCTAAAATTCATAAAGAGAGCTATATAGGGTATTATATAGCCAACTACTATAGGGCTTATCAAGGGGGATACTCGGAGTTGAGATTACAGCTCATGTGTTACTCTTATCCGAGACTCGCAGCATGCAATTTTTTTTCAGGGCTTGGAACCCTAGACCCTAAACCCTTAAACCCTAAACCTTAAACCCTAAACCCTTAAACCCTAAACCCTAAACCTTGCTTCAGGGCTTGGAGCCCACAAACCTGAACCGGGGGACCATTGGTTCTGAGATCCGCGACCTGGTAATGTAGGGGCATATAAGGGTTTTATAGTTTACAGAAGGTCATACAGTGTTATATATATATAGCTATACATAGGGATACTGTATATAGGGTATATATAGGGTATATAGAGGTAGAGGGGTATATACGCCTACACAACCTTGGCCGTATAGGTTGGTGGTCGAGAAACAGAAGGCGCTTACACGTACGCCTATGAGGCCTGCCCTCTGTCATGTATTCATTCTAGAATCCTAAGTCCTAAGCCCTAAAACCCTAAGCCCCTAAACCCGAAACCCCTAAACCCAAAACCCTGAATTGTTCAGACAATTCTGGGATTCCTTTTGAAGGGAGTCAAAATAAAGGGAAGCCACTTCCACCTGAAGCGCAAGGGAGGATTTGTGAAGAACCCTGACCTTAAACCCTAAACCCTAAGATTTGCGCTTTGAGCTGGGGACCTTTGGGGTAAGGGCTAAATAGGCCTAGAGGGACCTTGCTTCTCTGGTCCATGGTATGGTTTAGGATTTAAAGTCTAGGGTTTAATTAGGGTATAAGACATATAGGGTTTCTGGCATATCATTGTCATTAGCTGGACTAGGGGCCCCGTGTTTTTTCCTAGGCGTGGCTGTAAGGCTCTGGTCAGCCACGCTCTCCTTTTGTTTGGAAGGGAGACGGTCGGTCGGTCGGTCGATCACTGCTCAACTCCAGCCGTGGCTGGATCTTAAATCCTCAGCATGCTTAGGGTTGAGAGTTTAGGGGCCCAACCAAACCCTTCAATCCTAAAACCGAACATCAAGATACACTAGCCGTTATCAGTTCCACCCTCAATACTGTTGGCGCAGGAAATGAGGGTTTTGGGTTTAGGGCGATGGCCAGGAATCAAGCTACCTAGGTCGAGTAGTTCAGTGTCTCTGCTTGAACCCTAAGCCGCAAGCAATCAGTCCAAAATCTAGACACTAAACCCCAAATGCAATCCGTTTGGAGGCTGCCAGCAGCTCTATTCCGGCTCTAGTCACTGGTATGCTGCTTCCAACATGATGGAAAAAAGTGGGAAGGGCTTTGGGTTTGAGGGTTTAGGGTTTGGGACTTAGGGTTCAGGGTACGAGGTGCAGTTTACCGATCGGGCCTGATAGATGAAGGTGGATATCAGTTTGGAAACGCACCCCGCTGCAGACAACCCCTGCAATAATGTTAGTCGTGCTCATGAAAGAAGTAAAACCAGATGTTCATCGAGATTCACCTCAGCTTCAACCACAGAATGAATCTAAGGCAACTATAGGAGGGAAGTTACCATGTAGGGACAGTACAGAAGCCATTCATAATTCCCCATGATCCCTCTACAGCCTGTATATTCCCTAATATTGTTAACCCTCAACCCGAAACCCTTTATATTCCGTTGTTGGAGAATTCCCCTCTTGTAGTTGGTCTTCAGTCAGGGTTAAGGGCTTGGGGGCTCTTACGGGCTAGGTTTCTCAGTCGTCTGCGGAATAACAAGAAATGCTTTGAAGCTGTTGTTTTTCATTTACTGGGGTTTTGTGTGTGCTTGTGCCTGTATGGGTTCTGAAGGAATATTGGTGAGTCCATATATGCGGTGTCTACATGGGAGGAGGCTATAAAAACATGGCATGGCATTTAGGGTTTGAGATGTACATTAGCGTCTAGGGCTTATGTTTTGCTTTTGTTCTGTCTGAAATGTGTCGCAGCGTCGGTCTAAGATGCTGGCTTAGAAGCGAACCTCGACATCATGAAGACATGTGTGTATACATATATATATATATAGTAGTTTCCCAAAATAAGGGGACTCCCATATAGATCCCAAAACATTATAGTCCTTATTATAGGGACCCCCAAAAAGGTACCCCCAATTTTGGGAAACCCCCCATATATGTATAGAGCGCTTTAGGGTTTGGGGCTGAGAGGTTTGGGGCTTATAAGGGTCTGGGGTGACTGTATACAAGCGCATGAGTATGTTCGCTTAGTCGGTTTCGCATGCCTCTGAATGTTGGAGCGTCTTTAACCGAAGAGAACGACCCCCAGATTGGCATTTAGGGTAAGGGCTTGGGATTTAGGGTTATAGTCCACCTTAAGTAGATAGAATATGGCTTTGGGTATATTATAATAAGATCCCCATATACCCAATATTCTATCTACTTAAGGGGCACTATAGGAGGAGGCAGTTGGCGCTCCAAAACTCAAGGACACAACCCCGAGGCGCGTCCCGAAAACCTTTCAATCAATCGGGGCCAATGTGCTTTGGCCAGTTGCATCAACATATTACCCCCGTCCCCATGGAATTTTCCATGTTCTGTCCGATGTGGTTCTCATTTGTGAGGTAGTATCCCTACATCTAAGCCCTAAACCCTTGAAAACCGATCCCCCATTGGGGTGGCTCAGGGTTTTAGATGGGCTTTCGGGCCAGCTGATTTAAGGGTTTAGGGTATGCGTGATCCCAACATGTCTGCAAAGGCTCACAGATCCCGGGGGTTTAGAGTTTAGGATTTGAGTATTGGGGTTATATTGGGGTTAGTTCGAGGGTTCCTTGTCCAGGAATTTTCGGATTGCAAGGAACGACAGTAACCCAGGAAGCCCAATACCCTTTGTTCAGGATATTCCTTATAGATTACATTTCAAGGATCCAAGGATCATCTAAGGTATGCCAGTGACTCCATTTACCTACGGCTTAGTAGTAGTTAGTTACCCTCTACTTGGTAGGTAAAGCCCATAGAACTGTAGGTAAATGGAGCCACAGGTACCTCTTAGTTGAGGTAATACCCTAAACCTTAAACCCTAAACCCTGAACTCTTGGGGTCTCCTGGAAAGGCACCTCTCGGCTTCCCCTAACACAGGAAACAAATATATATACATTGTTGGGCTAGGAAGGAAAACAAACCATGAGGGTTTATAGTCCCCCTTAAGTAGATAGAATATGGGGCATATGGGCATCTGATTAGAATATGCTCAAAAGCCATATTCTATCTACTTAGGGGGACTACAGGATTTAGGGTTGTTGCAAGTTATGACCAAGAAATGGGTCCTAGCATTATTGCCATAGTTGACGCTCGAGTTTTGTATTAAACTCTGAGCCCTAAATCCTAAACCTATACTCACTAAGGTACTGGGTTACTGGGTCCTACGATTTAGGGTAGTTTTTTGCGTTTCGTTAGGCATGTTTTGAGCAGAATTTGGCTTGCAACAGGGGGCACATGCTTCCATAGCACAACGATCCGTCATTCAGAATGCAAGTAGGCCGGTCTACAAACAGAATACGCCCATGCAACCCCGTATCCCTACGGCACTCCTTTCAGCACATTTGAGTCCTTCTTTGAGCTGATAATCTTGGTCTTTTTCTGAAATCATAACCTTGCTCCTTTCGGTTTGGTGCTTATCTTGGCTTCCGGAAAGTAGAGATAGCCCTGAAAGGCTGGAGGAAGCTTAGTGGTAGTGTCTACTCATACTGGCCGAAATGGTCGATCATACGGAAGGTCTTTTATTACAGGGATCCAAGCCAGGAACTCACCCCGTTTTGAAAATTGCTCACCAGTGATTCGCAAAGACCTTCCACGTTTACACAGCACGGCCTCCATGCCTACACCATCTGCAGATGATGATGAGAGTTTTCTCACGCTGCAGGGTCAGGAGCGTACCTTGACTACAAGCTTCAGGGTTTCTAGGTACCCCAGTAGTACCCTTTTCCCCTTCTGATTTGGGGATCTCCTTATTAACACTGAATAGTACGAAAAAGGGTGCCCTTATTATTAAGGGGCTACTGGGGAACCTAGGTTTAGATGGCCCCTTCAAAATCAAATCATAGTACTTGTAGAGCGGTGTCTATGTTGGGCAATGTTGAGAACACCCACATAATTACGCTCTCATATGTGGAAGACGCTGTCGTGAAGAGGGACGTCGGTAATCCTTTTCTAGTCCCAAGAAATCCTAAACCCTAAACCGTGCAAGGGGACTCCCTACGCTTTGAACACCCCACACCACCTGTCCATCCCCATACTAGAAGGGCCTAAAAGGTTACCAAAATACTGATCCTGGCTTACCGATACAAGACTGGTTTCGGATATTTGAAATAGAGCTCAAGATGAGTTTCGTAGTTATCGCATAATTCCTATAGACAATGGCAATTACATACACAATTCCCAGTTTCCATTTCACTTTACATGTTCTTTTCTAGTTGGATCTCCAATTTCGGACACATATCAAGGCCCCTCAACCGTAAACCCTGAACCCTGAGAAACGTGGTAGTTTCCATGTTCGTTTCCATTGCCCTATATCAACCTATATTACGGGAGCTAGAAACCTCTTCAGTTCCCAAATCCAAACGCAAATGTGCAATGGATTCAAATTATGGTTCTTTGTTTGTACCACACAAAGCTATGTGCCCTTTCTGGCACCTCCTTGCTATGTACATGTTGAGTAGGGGGCTGTAGTAGAATATGAAACCAAAAGAGGCCGCACTTTTGTCGAACCCAAGTCCCCCAAACGCAAAACCTAAACCCTAAACCCTTGAAATGAGGAAGGAAAGGATCCAAGTCATGGCCGGATAATATTTGCAGTCTCCCATAAACTGCCATTCTACATGTGCATATATATATATACACCCTAAACCTTAAACCAACATGTATATACAAGTCGTGTTGCCTAACATACCCACGCAGCCCAAATATATGAAGCCCTAAACCCTAAACCCTAAACCCTAAACCATATCATCCCAGCTTTCCATACCCTGAAGCCTACCCCCTAACTGCAGCAGGCCTAGAAACCTCGAGAAAATCTTCATACCCAAAGGGTCCATGGTAAGTATAGGGTTTAGGGTTTA